ATGTTCATTTTTAAACCCATTATTTTATATCTATGTCCACCATTGTCCTCTAGTCATCCAGACTGACCAATGTGCTTTGAATGTAAATGCCATTTTGTTTCAATATGGAGGCCTTAAAGTGGACCTGTCAGTAACTGTACAAGTCTGTATGTCGAGATATACAGCAACAGTATAATTTTTTCAGAAAAGCTCCAACTTTGAGCAATAAAAAGCCATCGCTGAGCTCCAGTCAGTGACTTTCCCTAGGCTAAGATGATGTCATCAGTCTGCTGCAGGCAGGAGGACAAGGTGAGAGGCTGCAGCAGGGGCTGATTTGTGCCAGACACTTGTGAACACGAGCCATGGGTTTATATGATTGTGTCATCTCTTGACCAGTATGTTGGTCCAGGAAGTATATAATCACCCTGGATGATGCCCAGGCAAAGATGGTGCCATCCTCGAGGCAAAAGCAGATGAAGGCATTGTCATGGGGATCACTGTGATCTCTGTGCGAGGGAATAAATACCTGGGTGTGTTACACCGACACATTACTGAGCATGCTGCCTTTAAAAAGAACAGATATATCTGATGACAGGTCCACATTAAGCATTCACTTGCAGTGACACTTTGCTCTGATTGGCTCTCTGATATTTAGAAAAGGAGCAAGGACAGGATGAGGCACATCAACATGGAAATCTTCAAGTCCATCTACAGGTGCTTCGTCCACAGAAAAGAGATCGACTGCATATTTAGGGAATATTCCACCACTGACAGATTCCTCCACCCTAAAGACCTTCTACATTTCCTCCAAATTGAGCTCCATGAGAACCACGCGGACATGCAGAGAGTCTTCAAGCTGGTAGAGAAATACGAGAGGGACCAGAAAGGTGAGGACCACTTCCAGACGTGTGTGGTAGCATTATCTATATGGGCCCCCATTGGCTCTGGGCTGCCATCCCCATCCTTGGGGAGTCCCCAACCTGGAACAAACTTGCAGAATGGGAATTCAGACTTTTGAGACTTTACTGGCTGCATGCTTGTTCCGGGGCTGAGACTCAGCAAGCATCAAAGCTAGCATAGGGATGGTAACCCTAGAGCACATGTGTCAAACCCCAGGCCCAGGGGCCGAATCCTGCCCACCAGGCCATTTCCTAGACTTCTACTTTCAGATCTAAGTATTAAGTTATTACTAAAACCAGTGGTAATCGAATGCAGAGGCAATTATTACATTTATATAGTCTTACAGGCCCTTTGAGGGCAACCCTAATGTTGATGCGGCCCACGATTAAATTGAGTTTGACACCCCTGCGGGCCTAGAGCATGCTCCTCTGAAAACAAGTCAGCAATATCACCTCTCAGATTTCTGTCCTGATAGGGCCCCTTTAGACTGCTAATATTTGACAATAAGGGCCAGTCACACCATCAAGATTGCGTTCCAGTGCATTCAGCCTCTGGAACGCACTGGAACGCAACCCGGCTGGCTCACTGTGTTTTGGGGCGGGAGGGGGTGTGGCGGTACATTGAACTCAATGCCCCCCGCCAGCGGTGCGATCGCCGGCACCCGAACGTGTGGCACATTAGTGCCTGCGTCCGGTCCAGTGCGATCTGCATAAAATGCTGCATGCACATTTTTTTGCAGATCGCACATGTGCCACGTGTTTGGGTAACGGCAATCGGGCACCGCGGGCGGGGGCGTGGCTGCAGTGCCATTGAGTTCAATGCACGGCCACGCCCCCTCCCGTCCCAAAACAAAGTGAGCCGGCCGGGTTGCATTCCAGAGGCCGAACACACTGGAACGCACTCTTGATGGTGTGACGGGGCCCTTTGAAAAGCCTTTTTGGGGCCCTAAGAAGAACCTTATTTAGGGCCCAAAAGCGCAGATCCTTTCTGAGTTTACTTTCACTCATCTCTGGATCCGGTTGCACCAGGATGTGAAAGTCTGAGCCAGCGCCGAATTAAGAGCATCATGGCCCTAGTGCTGTCGGTTGGCCGGACGGGAAGCAGCAGAGACGGCTCTCTAATTAAGTGGCCACTTGCTCCTCGCTGGGGCCCCGCTTTGCTTTAGTGGGAGGCTGCCTAGTATGCCTGTTTAGAGAGCCACCGGCGCCTCTGGCTGATTGTGTTTACTAGAGATGCACAGATATCCGTTTTTCGATATCGAGTACCGATATTTTTTTTCCGGTACTCGCTGATACCGAATACCAATACTGGAAGTCCCATTAAGCCGCTGATTAGCCGTGAAGCCGGGCGGCATGTAAAAACTCACCACCCGGCTTCCTGATTAGCAGGGAAGCCGCCCCCATGCTTCTCGTTACTAGGTGACGAGATAGCATGGAGCCGGCTTTCTGGCCAACCGGGAAGCCGGGCGCTGTGTAATGAGGCGGCACCCGGTTTCCTGATTGGCCAGGAAGGCGGCTCCATGCTCCCTCATCACGAAGCCGGCTCCATGCTCCCTTGTCACAACTGACGAAGGAGCATGGAGCCAGCTTCCCGGCCAAGCAGGAAGCCAGCAGCATGTAATGACTTGCTGCCCGGCTTCCTGATATCGGAAGTATTGGGCTAGGCATCGGAGCATTTGAGTGAGTACGAGTACTTGCCCAAATACTCGGCACAGATACCGATACTAGTATTGGTGCATCCCTACTGTTTACCCTTGCCAGTCCGGATTGCCATTGAGCATACCGAGGCGTTCCGGGCCAGCCGGGTCTGTTTTCAGTGGTGGGCCTCGGGCTGGCACTCCAGTAGCCCCCATGTTAATCTGGCCTTGGTCTGAGCTCCATAGCCTCGCCAACCCTAGTCTGCGGTTATCTGTGCAACGTGTTCTGATTAGTGAGTTGGCTCCATGGCAAAGCAAAGATGCGTTTTCATTCCCAACCCCACTGCTTGAAGCCGGTGGCTAATTCACCTATGCTTTGGGCTAGCTTTGCACTATTTATCAAGTGATATCCGGCAGCAGTTAGAAGATGCAGGGAAGGGAGGTCATGTGATCTCTCTGTGAAGCATGCCTCTAAGTGAGAACACATCATTCATTTGGTATGTGTCGATAACCGGATTGACATGTTCAGAAACGTTTTCTGTTACATTGATATTATTTCATCCCAGTGGATTTGCAGCAACATCCAATAACATTGGATTACAGAACCCGGAGATTTCGGGACAGTCAGACGTGTACAGATCTGCATGAGTTTCTGCACACGCCGCGCAGTGGGTTGTGCTGCGTTTTTGATGCGTTCCGGGACGTTTTTGGTAAAAAAAAATAAAAAAAATTCTGCTCTTCCTTTTAAATCCTCATGTCTTCTCATGCTGGGGGAGAACTTCCCTTTGCAGCTGAGTGCCTCTGTCTGTAGTGCTGGCTCAGGTTGCAAACCTACACACAGACATCATGTATCCATTCCAGAGACAAGGCAGTCTGCTGCAAAACAGAAGTTCTCCCCAGCATGAGAAGACATGAGGATTTAAAAGGAAGAGCAGCAAAGAGAAGGGAAACTACCATGGATTGCAGTAAGGCACACATTACAGTATTGGTTTATGTTAAAAAATCTGAGGGTTTAATGTCACTTTAAGAAAAGATCTCCTCTTTGCATCTGTTTGCTTCCAGCGCCGTCCGGATCTTGCCAAATGTATTCAGCCACAAAACGTGATTTCTTTTGTATCAACATAAATCAATATTTTCTCTTTAGCGCCGCAGCGACGGCGGTTATTGTTACAATTGTATCGTACGAGACATGAATAATGTATAACAAACAATGCGGAGAAGACACCCCGAGAGGGAACTTCGCAGAGAAGTTGTGAAATTATATATTCAGCAGAAAACCAACTTCAGTCCTTTTGCGGTCCTGGAGCCATTGTATCCGATTCTGCGTTCGCTTTAATGACCTAATGAGGTTCAGGGGATTCGGAAAAGAGGAAGGTGTCGTCTGAGCCGAATTGGGTGATTCAAATGGGATTGTAATGTATTTTAGGGCCCATTCACACCACATCCAGATTACCTCCACACCAGACAAGATTGTTTCCGGACCCAAAACGCATCCTAATGAATCCCTATGCTATTTCTGGCCTCTGTCCCCACCGGCGCTGTCCATTCCAGACCAGAAAAATACTGTTTGTCCTATTTTCTCTGGTCTGGAATGCACTGGAACGCATCAAAAATACATAAAAAATGCATCAAAAATGCACTGGAACGCACCTGTAAGACAATTTTAAGCTAAAAAAAAAACGCAATGCACTATGTTCCATATCTGGTCCGGAAAATGGTGTGAACCCAGCCTCAAGTAGGTTATCAGTAACTGACATGACTTTCAGGTATTTCTATTTTTACTGGTATATGTTTTTATTATTATATTTCATTATATACAGGCCAGGAAATGCTGCCTCTAGTGGTCATCTCTATATCAGGGAATATTAACCCTGCTGAGACTCAGTTAGCAGTATGGTGACCATAAACAGGATGATAATTACATGTGGTGACCCCAGCTTTGACATCCCAAGTCATGACTGGGCAATCTATCACCTCGGCCTTTTGGCTAAGATCAAGTGTAGTATCTGTTCTTATCAGTTTTCGGAGGGGAAAAGCATGGACCGTCCTACAAACCCTACTCTCTGGAGTGAAGGTGGGTGCTGAGGCGACTCCTTTTTGGAAGAGGGGGGAGTTTCCTCGGCACTAATGCCTCCTGACTGAACGGATGCTGTGTTTGGTCTGGCTGGAGGGTTCAGGGGCGGCAGAAGCCCGTGGTGCTGTGCCCCCTGGAGGTGGCGTTTCAGGGGTGGCAGAGAATTACACTGGGTGTGGGACCCCAGCACTAGTTCGCTGACACAAGGTCACGGCACCTCTTGCATTTTCTACACAACGCCTTTTGGACAGGCCTTATGGCTAGTCTGGGGCAATATTTTTGCACTCCGGCCCCTAAGGCCTGTCAGCGTGGTGCACTGGCACTTTAGATTTATTTATGCACTACATGCACGATTGGCATGCTTTTTTATTTTTAAATTTGACCCACAGATTGCGGAGGGTGCGGGTACCTTCGGGGGCCCATTCCTGATGTAGGGAGGAGATTCTGTGCCCTTACATAGGGTTCTCTGTCTCCTACCACCCAGGGGGTCTCTCTTCGGGAGAGCCCCCTACCTAGTACTGTAAAGGGACCTGTTCCGGCAGGTCCCCAAAGGATCCGGGTCCGCCGGCCTTCGGGTTGGTGGACCATAGTATTCCTAGCCCCTGTCGGAAACCTTGCGCCGGGAAATCGGGTCCCTTCTTTATTGAAGGACCAAGCACCCTTGTGCACGTTTTTGTGTGTTGTGATTTCACGATTCACTTTTTTTTGTTCACAGGTGATTTCGTTTTCGAGCACGCTCCACGGGCTTTAAAAAAATAGAAAAATAGGTGGCAATAAAGAGTATTTAGTGACAGACAGGTAGCTGTGCAGATGTGGGTGGAGCAGCATGTATGTAGGGGACTGTGTAAGACTGAATGACATTGTCTACTCTAGCACGATGGTCAGGGGGGCGGGGCTCTGACCTTTCATGCTGTTCTCAGCCCGGTGTCATAGGCTGAGGACTGAAGAAACAGATTTTTTACTATCAAATGCACATTATAATTAAAGAGGTCGACACGTCACATAATTCCTTATTGAGCAACTCTATGAGCATGGCTATGTGTCCATATATCAGACTTTGAGTATATGTTGTCCATTAATCTCGGATCTGTTCTGACTTCCAGCTCGGAGAAAGATGTATATGACTTTTGATGGATTTGTCAGATTCATGCGCTCGGATGAAACTCACATCTTCAGGCCGAGTTGTACTGAGATCTACCAGGACATGAACCAACCTCTGACCAACTACTTCATCTCCACCTCACACAATACCTACCTGGTCGGGAACCAGCTGGTAGGAGAAAGCCATCTCTCGGCTTACAGCAAGTAAGTGGCTCCAGGTTTGTGCGTGGTCCGGGTTCAGGCTCAGGGGACACGTGTGTGACTTTTGTCATACTTTGCTTCTAATTTTGCGACTTGGCACTTCAGGGGAAATAAGATGAAAAAAGTCGCCACTTTAAGGTAGAAGTTAGGGTTTACCCTAAGCACTAATCCTAAGACCAAAGCCTAACCCTACAATTCAAACCAACAACCTAACACCAAAGTCTAACCCTACAATTCAAACTAACCCCTAACACCAAAGTCTAACCCCAGACATTAACTAAACCCCTAATACCAAAGTCTAACCCTACAATTCAAACCAACCCCTAACACCAAAGTCTAACCCTAGACATTAACTTAACCCCTAATACCAAAGTCTAACCCTAAGGTGATAGGGGTTAAGTTAATGTCTAGGGTTAGACATTAACCCTACACATTTAACCCTAACCCTATCCTATCATCAAAATCTAACATTAGGATTCAAGAAAATCTTCTAAATTTTACACTAAAGTCTAACCCTAGAATTTAACCTAACTCTAACCCTAACATCAAAGTTTAACTCAAGTTTTCAATTACACCCTTAAACCCTATCAAAGTCTAACCTTAGAATTCAACCACAACCTTAACCCTAACATCCTAAAATCAAAGTCTAACCCTAGAGCCTAACCTAATCTTAACATAAAAATCTACTACTATAATTCATCCTAACCCTTAACCTTAACAATAAAGTCTAACCCCAGAATCTAACCACAACCTTAACCCTAAAATCTTTCAATCAAAGTCTAACTGTAGAATTTTAACCTAACCCTAACACCAAAATATAATACTAGAATTCAACCTAACCCTAACACCAAAACCAAAGTCTAGAATTCAACATAACCGCTAACCTTAGCAGTAAAGTCTGACCACCTAATGTTAACACCAAAAACTTACTCTGGAAATTAGCCTAACTCCTAACCTAAACACCAAAGTCTAACCTCAGAATTTAACCTAACCCCTAACCCAGGCGCTAAGGTTTAACACTAGAATTCAACCTAACCCTAACACCAAAGCCTAACTTTAGAATTCAACCTAACCCCTTACTCCGACAAAAGTCTAACCTTAAAATTCAATCTAACGCCTAGCCCTAAAACCAAAGTCTAACCCTAGAAATCAACCTGCCACAAAATGATTACACTAGAATATAAACTAAATCCTAACCTTAACACTAAAGTCTAAGCCTGGAATTCAACCTAATGCCAAACACCATAATCCACCATAGATTTTAACCTAACCCTAACATCAAAGTCTATTTCTGGAATTCAACCTAACCCTTTACTCAAACAGAAAACTGTAACCCTAGAATTCAATGTAACACCAAAGTCTAACCCTAGAATTCAACCTGACACCCAATTATAACACTAGAATTCAAACTAAATCCTAACCCTAACACTGAAATCTATGCCTGGAATTCATCCTAACGCCAAACACCACAATCCACACCAGATTTGAACCTAACCCCTGACTCTAACAACAAGGTCTATCTCTAGATTTTAACCCAACCCTTAATTCTCAGCCTAACCCTCATATTAACCCTTACCACAAACTCCAACCCTACACCCTCTGCTAGCCTTACATTGATATTACTTTCTCTTCAAATCACATCTGTATTGTAATATGTCAGCAACCAAAAATTGGACATTACAAACAATACTCGGACACAGGAGGACATGTTTCGGACACTGGAGGACGGGTGACATTCTGTGATAAGACTATTACCAGCACCCAGATATTGTCATCATGGCTAATGA